GTGTAGGGGTTTTTGATTTTGTATCTGGAACGGCCCATTCTGCAATCAGAACGGTCCGTTCTCCAGGTAGAACATCTCGTTCTTCTTGCATTTGTTATGTTTTTTTTTGTTTATAACTTTTTTACGTCGACTCTTAAGAATGTTCAACGTAAATTTACGTCTGCCATCACAACATACATAAATTTACTACCCCTTTTGTACTAGTGGAGTAGCGAACAGGGGTGCCCTATTTTTGGTTATCATGTGGGAGATTTGGATCAACAGAAATGCATCTTTGTTCTCGGGGTCTGCTAAACCTCTCTATATCACTGTGATGAACAATTGGAATTGTCATGTAGATATATTGTGTCATTTGTGTGTGTTATGCAATCTGCGGTTCGTGGTCTACATAAGGAAGAGCAGTGGGTTAGCTGTCTACATGCGTAACAAGATCAAATAGTTGTTCATGTTGATGGCAGTGCGCATGGTTGCCCTGGGCCAACAGGTTTTGGTGGTCTTTTAAGGGACAATAGAGGTCGATGGATTGTTGGGTTCTATGCTGATGCAGAGTCACTGATAATCTAAAAGTTGAGCTGCTTGCAATACTTCATGGGTTGGAGCTGGCCTGGAGAAATAACTTTCGTGATATTATGTGTTTCGGATTCCTTAAATGCTATAAATCTGGTGCGAGGTGATCCTATTTTCGATCATAAGTATGCACCGGTTATTGCAAAGATTAAAGACTACTGGGAGAGTTTGGAAAGTTAATTTTTATCATTTTCTAAGGGAGAAAAATCAATGTGTTGATTTTATGTCCAAAATGGGTTCTAATTGCGGGTCTAATTCAGTTGTTACAAAGGTTATACCTATTGGTTTAACCCCTCTTATAAGGCAGATGAATCGAAGACTTCTTTCCTAAAGGTGTAGGCTTTTTGTTATTGTTTTTTTCTTCGTTTTTTACGTTTGTAAAACCCAAAAAATATGTCTATTTTTTAATCCAAACAAACTTCTATTGTGCATGTAGAATAATGATATCAATGTTAGAAGTAGATCCTAAAGGCATGTTTGATGCGATAAATTTCATGGTACTAAACAAGACAAAAATATTTGTTTAACATTTTATTGACCGGACAAAAAAGAGGAAGAAGGACAGAACAAATATCTCACTTTTTGTTATTCAAGAAATTATGAGACAACTTATTGTCTTTTAAGTACAAAAATACTGACTACCATGTTGTTGTTACTTACTTATCACCACGTAATATTCTTATTGTCATCATTTATCACCATTGATGTAATGCACCACCATCAATGTGGTCACTTACCGCCACTTTGTTTCTATCACCCTTGTTATTGTCATTTCCACTACCATATTAACATTGTTATTTTTGTATAATTTGTCCATATTTTTACATTAATATAATATTGTTTGGTTTGAATTTAAATTCTCATAGTTTATTTTTAGACATCAATCAAAATACTTCATACTAATAGATATTATTATATGTATATAAACTCATGTTCATCCTTTTATTTAAACGATGTAGAACTTTACTAATGATAATTAATATTAAAATGGATATGATAATTGAGTTAATATTTTTTTGTATTGTCTATTATTCATTAAATATTGTAATGAATAAAAAGTTGTTCAATAACTTAAGCATTTATCTCTCTTGGTCAAATGCACCCTAAGACTTTGTATATAGAACTTAAACCTCTTACTATACTATATTATGTCAACTCTAATAGTTCGACAAACACCTATTTAATATGTTATCTTTGAACTCATAATTTATCGCATGTAATCAAAATGGTTAAGCTAGTAAGGTAAAATGAAGGAATAAGGACAATTTCCATTTTAATAGTATAATCAAAATTAAATTTTTTTATAAATTTAAAATTAATTTTTAGATAAATTATTTCAAAAGAAATCTCATAAATTAATTTATATATAAATTAATTTTATAAAAAAAACTTATTTTATTTTTCTATAAATATTCACAAAGATGTTTGTCCATATATATATACCTGTTATACAAGGATGCAGATATAAATCACTCACCAAACCTGAGACATAGCACGAGAGCATAGAAGAGAAGTAAATGAAGCCAAAGTGCCCCCACTTTCATCTGTGACAAAGTATTTTCCAACTGATGACACTTTATAAACTCTTTCGGTGTTGCCATCAGCAGTGGCACGAGTGGCACATGTTAGAAGAGAATGACTCGCAAGCAAACGAAGCATGCGTTCGAGCCTATTTGGTAACTCTGAGTAGTGTTCTATTGCCATCTTAGAAGCAATTTCAGAGGCTGACATGAATGCATCATTATTACCTATGATCTCAAACAAGTTGAGCTCAATAGCAGCATTCATGACCACTGTCAACATCTGGTTATTAGCAAGTAAAAGAGCAGAGAGATGAGCCTCTTTGTTCGATGCTTCATTGGGCACCAATTCACCCTCTCCATTGATGGTTGGTTACCAGAGAGTACAAAAGCAGAGAGACGAGCCTCTTTTTCTGATGCTATATAGGGCACCATTGATTCACCCTCTCTATTGATGGAAACCATGTTATTTTCTTTGTGTGATTTAGTGTCTTAACTCTCTGGTGATTCCTTCTCCCAGAATTAACCAATTTATAACTGAAAATTTTCATTCTACAATAGTTGACAAGTTAAATATTTATTATTTATACCAGTATGATGCATGATAATGTAATTATTTAATACGGAAACTTGTGGGATTTCACTTTGACTTTGGGCAATTTTGAATGAACCAGTTGAATTTCACACTTTTATTTGATTTTTTTCATGCAAGAAACGTTATTTATTAGATTTTTACTAGCTGTGCTTTTGAACATCTTTATCAATGAGTCATGAGACAGAAAATAGGCCATTAAAGCAATCTTTCTTAACCTTTGGATACGCAGTGGCTGACGTGATACGCAGCAATTTCTATAAGAAATTGTATCATGCGAGGAAAATCAGACCCTAATTAAATTGTATGAAAATTTTCAAAGTCACAATTAATAAAAATATGATATCTATAAAGAGGTGCCAAAAAAACTAAATCAACTTGTTTGAATTTGAAAAAGAACTGCACCATCTAAAAAAAATCATAACTAATTTAAAAAAAAAAAATCAAATCCTATTGTTTAGATAAAATGGATTTTAAAAATTGAATTGTATTGATAATTAGATTTGGTGCACTGGTACATTAGTTTTAAATAATAAAATTAAATTAAATCAAAATAATTTTTTTATATCTTTCATATTGTGAAGTCCCACATCGGCTAGTAAGGTGAACGAAGCATGCCATATATATGGGTGTGGATACCTTACTCTTGAGGACGCGTCTAGGGATGCCATGAGGGCATTGCCTAGAACAAAGCCGTGAGGCCGTGGGCCAAAGCGGACAATATCCTCATGCGGGTTGCGCGGGCTGTTACACATATCTTACGGTTTAATGATTTACCGTATCACAGAAAATGTTTGAATATTATTTACGATCATTCTGTTCTTTATTTTTATTTTTTTAACTTTTTTATTATCTTTAAACTATTAAAATAAATGTTAGTTATCAAATCATGTTTCATAATTAATTTTTCATATGACAATTATAAATTTTCAATGCTTTTGAGTTGACTTCAACGAGTTTGTTTGTATAAATTTTTTTCTTTTAAAAAATGTTATTAATAAAATAAACAATTTTCTACCTTATATTATATGTTTGTCTACTTAATTGATCTCTGAGTTAAATATCTAACTAGTAAAAGATTTTTAATTAATCTCTAAAAAGTGTATTAATCATAACTTTGTTCAATATTTTGAAAGAAAAAATATTCTTTTTCTTAAGAAATCCAATTTAAAATTTTGTTCAATTCTTAAAATCGGCCCAAAATTGGTTTGGTTTTAAAATCGACTCTAAATCAGCTTTAAACTTGTTTATAAAAATGGTTTGATTTAGAACCAATTATTGATGTGATTCAAATGATTCATAAACTAATTCAGATTAATAAAATGGTGCAATGCGATTAAGTGTGGTTTTTTTTTTTTGAAAAATCGAACATGTTCACCCCTAATATCAATTGACAAATAAATGGGAATGAAATCGTGCTAATTATCTTAATAAACATGACTACTCAATAAATCAATAGATATATTAACATGGTTTGAATCTAAGATCTTAATATATATTATGTGTCTTTAAGTCCACTCTAGTCATTGTCCACTTTTCAGACAGTTTTGTTTTTCGTAAAATCTGTTAAATGGAATAAGAATTTTATAACACCTAACAATAGGTTCTTTTTTATTTAATTTTTATATGACAAGGTTTGGGAACATGTTACGGATGAATAACTCAACTCATTATAAAGTCACTCTTGGTACAAAAGCTTATGCTATGATATTTCATAGTTGACATATAGCAATTAATAGAATCCTTGTAAGAGTTTTGTGTGATATCCTCTATCCCGCAAGACATAAGACATAAATAATAAATTAAACTGAATAATACGATCTCCATAAATAAACTCAACGTGTTCAAGTAGAAAGTATCACATTTTTAACTTAACAAAATGACAACCAATGAAATCGTGATCATAAAACTAATGTTTTCCAAAATAATTCAATGGAATAATATCTTAATCTAGTCCTAGCTATGGATGTCACATGTCTTGTGGGAATAAAATCCAACTATGAAGTTTAAACCTCATCACCAATATCTTCAACCTCATGCTGATGATAACCTACGTAACAATCAAGGAAAATAACACAAAGCAAAGAGAGTAAGAAACATCTCACTTTGACTCATGGTATAAAAATCCAAACTGGACAGTCAAACACAAATAAGGAATAGAAGATATAGCATACACAAACAAACATTAAAACCACAGTCATTTGGTCATGGCATAATAAAGAATAATAGTTGCATTATAATGCATTATGCAATGGACAGGGACAACATGATATCATGCATGTAGCGTCAGTAAAACATCACATATCACACTTGTGCATTACCGCTAGCAATACACGTAGAATAATCTAGGAGTACATGTCGAGTCACACCCTCTACACACTCTCATTAAAAAGGCATACTACCAAAATCTAGTCGAGATAAGTAGTGAAAGATACATTTCATGCTCACAAAAGTAGGACTAGGATTTCTAAATTGAGTTATCTCGAAGGTTGATTCCCAAACTTTTACACAAAGGACCTTCCCTGGTCGTATATTCCATATCGTACCCTATTGTACCCTTTAAATAAAACATTTTTTATGCACGTGATGCATGTTAAATAGACTCAATGCAATAACATAAATATGATGTCATCACATGTCACATAATCCTCATATCGATCACCTCATATATCTCATGTGCATTCTCAAATACATCAACTAATCTTTAGTAAAAAGGAAGTATCAAGATCACAAGGATAAAACAACTACCTAATAGTTATAGAATGAGTTGAGCTCCCGAAAGCCTCTCGTTGAGCAAATAACATCTAGTTGAGCCACCAACATCTAGTTAAGTGACCAACATCTAGTTGAGTGAGTTAGGGCTTCTCGCTGAGTGACCAACATCTAGTTGAGCGAGTTGAGCCCCTTAAGACTTCTCGTTGAGCGACTAATATCTAGCTGAGCAAGCTGAGCTCCTTGGAGCTTCTCGCTGAGTTACCTTGCACATCTCGCTAAGCGAGAATGCAATCTTCCTTTATGGAAATCACGTCTCCTCGATAACTACAAGTTACCCACATCCAATTTTATGCATAAACACATATACAATCAATAAAATGGCTCTATAACATGTAATTAACATTTCAAGTCACTCAAAATAATCTCATTAGATATATTTCTTTGCTCAAATCTCATTACAAATATGACATTCAACTTTTTTTTATGATCTAATTACTTTTTGAAGATAATAAAAATTATTTACATATATATAAAGAAATTTTATATATAAAAATTTTTGCATTTAATAAAATTTAAACTATTAACTTATACTCCCTCCATCTTATAATAGGTTTTATTGTGACACCCTTACTACCCCAACACATATACTGGAACTTTACAAATAAATGTTTAAAAAAAAGTAAAAGGGTTCACATGAGAAACTTCAAAAATCGTTCTTCAATAACCACAATAATAAAGATTTAGAAAATGAAACACAAGAGTTTACAAATTGTTTTCAAAATGATATTTACAATTCCAAATCCATATAAAAGTTCTGTTCTAAAAGTCCTCTGCCCCGATGTCACAATATCAGAGCATACCCCTAATTTAACTGTTGGCATTCTACATGCCACTCACAGCCGGATCTTCCTCACCTAAAACATCCACAAAATTGTACGGTGAGAAAAGAAAACATCTATATGTAAAGTACATACAAACACACAACATATCACCTCATTATAACTCGATACTCAACGAAATATTCATAAAAATTTCAATGCATCATAATTTTATCAATTGTGCATCATCATCAAGTCACAATTTACAATCACCACAATCATCACAAATCTTGCAATCAACCCTATGTCTTTCTTTTCTTTCAATACAGAGTGTAATCACTTAAAACAAAGGCCAAACAATTAATAAAGAGGTTTCCAAGTGGTGGAGAAAAGAAGAACAAGAAGAGTAGAAGTGTAAGTGTACTAGTCAAAAATTTCAACACAAAATGTTACTAGTTTTAGTACTAGTTTGTTATCTTCTTTTGTACACTTTAATTTTCGTTTTCAATACACTTCTACCTCTGTTTTCTTTTATCAAAACAAGCACAAGACACACAAGGAATTTCTGGTCACAAATTGCTA